TTTCCCATTCAAAAAGCCTTTGTAATGGTTAGTTAGTTACCGTATTCCTGCAAACGAACAACAGGTAGCAGAAGCCTTGTGAGGGTTGGAACAGAAGTATTTTATTTCAATAAATTCGGAATAAATAAGTGACATAGACAACAACTTAGACGAAGATACTCACAACTATGGAATATATGACGAATGCTAACAAAACAGTAACGAGACATGCTATGCATTCAAAACCGGAAATTTCTATATCACTGCAAACTAATATTTTTTATGCTGTTTTTCTGAAGTCAGTATACCGAATTTTCTATCAGAGACGCATGGCGGCCAGTCAAGATCTTTAAAAAGAGCCTTAACAAAACTTAAAACTGATGACAGTGTTTTAATTACGAAAGCAGACGAAGGTTAAGGTGTTTTACTCATAGACTCATTGGAACAGATCAGAAACAAGGTTTTATTTAGGAAAAAGTGCTCGAAATGTTGAAACCTACGGGAAAGATGACATCAATGCTACATGATCTACCAAAAATACATAATAGTAGCTTGCTCTCTCCACCAGTTTTAGATATAAATAATTCAGCTTATGATAATATGTCAAAATGCTTAGTGCAGTTTATGAAACATTTGCACGGAAAAATTGTGAAGGATAATGTCAAGGACTCCCATGGATTTGTAGATAATACAAAAAATCTGTCGGTTCAAAATAACATAATGATATCACTAAATGTATTGTCCTAGTGTAGTGAACAAGAACACGGGTGGGGCCAATCGACTGTCTTCGGCACAAAAATTACAGACTGTCTCAATATAATGTGAATACCATAAAGTCAATCGTCAATTTGCAAAATATCATTCCATCATATCAAACTGTACTGTTCCCGTTGCAAACACTAATCCATTGTCTCCCATTCCATTGTACATGCGTTTTCTTACAATTGCATTGTGTTCTTGCTCTTCCTTTCTTGATCTTCGCCATCTTCTGCTGCCGGACATTACGTTCTTTTAACGCACGTTATATACTACTTATATCAATATAAGTAGGTCACACCACACTAGTACAAGAACATTCCCCTACTGGAAATTGGGTTTTATTTCCAGCGAACTAAAAGAGTATGGTACAGAAACCTTAATTATTGTATCCGCAATAAAACAGTTAATTCTTAGATGCATCATAAACATTAACTTGAGATTCAACAATGAATACCATAAACAATTGTATGGCACAGTCATTGTGCCCTCTCCAGACGTTTTTCTTTCAAAATTGCGAAACGGATCACTTAAAGACGAGCAGTCATCTAACATCTTATTGTCGCTATATATATATATATATATATATATATATATATATATATATTTATATACTTTTGAATCAGCAATATAATTACAATAACAATGATGCTTTCAAATGTACTTGACATTTTGCTTACAGATGAGTAATGACCAGATAACTACTGGAACTAATCTATCTCAATAGTGATACTTGTGATAATGATTGTTTGTCACACTATATGATGAATTTACTGAAATCTAAAGTAAAAACATGTGGCATTAATTCAATGGTCTTAAGTGTAATGAGGCTGATATAAAACGTCTTTTGATCAAAATTCGTCCTAGAACTTTGAACTATACATCATTATTCCGAATGTTACTTAGCTTTTGATCATTTACTACCTGAAGTCAATCTATTGTGTAAATTGACTAGAAATATTAGACTTTGTTTTAAGGTAATGGATTGATAACTTGAATATTATCTGTAACGTTTCAACTTCGGATTACAGAGGTACATTGTTTTTAGTATGTAACGAGATGATGGTAAAACCTGAGTACATTACCGCAATCTTTGATATATATCTAAACTGATACTGTAAGCCGGATACACACTCTCTAAATCATGTATTCCTAATAAAGAGTAGCTTACTCATTTCTGATAACTAGTGATTTATTCAAGTTCAAACTTAAAAGTTTCGCCTAAACAAGCACATTTAGTCAAATCAATACAGTAATTCCTGACGTTACAGAACTTAATTATTTAAGGCTCGAACTATTCTCCTCTATTTATCTGCTAACTTATATCAACAACCTCTATTACATTATTTCTTATGTGATTTACATCAAGTGACCGTACATATTCCATGGATTCAGATATATCCACTGAAATTAAACTTCTTCGAACAATATCATAATTAGCACATTGAAAACCAAAGTAATTAATAATATCAACTCAAACATACCTGTAAAATGTCATGAAAAATCTAGGATATTTCTGTTATATCCCGATAAAAATAATAAATGTTAACTGTTGGAATCTATTTCTGGACTAATACTATACAAATATTTTTATTGTATAATTGTTAAGTAGCTATATCATTCATATTCGTGTTCCTCTTATTATAAGCTTTATTTTGACCTATAAATTATTATAATACGGTTTGCCATTCTTCAGTTATACCCAGTCTATCAATTAATATCTCCCACATTCACAGCCACATTTGGCTAAATCTTGTACAAATATTATTTTCTATTTTATGGTACGATGTGGTCTGTTTCGTTTGTATATAAACCCAGTATGTTTAAAATACATGATTCGTATCGCAGAGGCTGGGATTTGTGTTCTGAACTCAACAGGCAGTGCTAGGCTGGAAGTAGGATCGATAAAGACTCTAGACTATTCGTACGTGTTTTATGCGTTATTGGTCTGGTCGATAAATCTTTGTTCTCTAACTGACGTAATCGTTACTTTATATATTATTAGGGCAGAAATTATGACAATTTCATTATGTAAATTGTTATTATTATAATATTAATCAACTGAAAAAACAGCTCAGTGTGCTTTATGAAACCAAGTTTACCTTAGACATATTCTCTTCTAGAAGCATATTCGATATTTCTGAAATCCTTTGCTTTTATATTTATTCATTGTCTAGTAAATCGTAGTTTGATATAAATTTTTGGATCGTATCTTTTTATTATTTAATTTTAGTAAATTAATTTTTGTAATTAAAATAATAACTCAGAAAAGTACTCTTATACTTATTGAACTGACCGTTGAAGCATAGAACAAAATCTCTTCTTTCAAGTCAGTATTGATAATACGTAATTAATTTTTAGGAGTTGATGATAAATTTAATTTAAGTTTACGTAATGCTTCAAGAGACATCTTCAATAAGCCTGTGTTATAGGTTCAAGACAATCATTTTGACTAGAATTCTGTTCATACTGTTAATTCTGTAATTATCGATTTCATTTCCTATATACACGTTAGCTGTACATTGAGGTACATGTGTGATGAAGGCTACTTATATTAATAAATATAAGTAGTATGTGACCGATCAGATTGAACTGAAGAAAATAAAAAAAGAATTGTAAAGTGGAAGAATCATATAGGATGTAAAGGACAATTGATGGAAAATTTTCCAATGAAGTACTTAATGTAAGGTTTTCACATATTACCGAAGAACTCTGTAATTTTGTGTTAATTAATAAAGTGATTGACTTCATTAAGTCTTCGTTCAATGCACATGTCTAATAAAAAACGAATTTCATATTTTGACATATAACGAATGTTAAAAAAACGAAAATCAGAAGAGAGATCTCTTTTCAACGAATTTATTGTATATTATATATGAAAATTTTTTATTAAAGTACAAGTTACGTGAGGACATATGAACAAGGAATTAACACAATGATGTAATAGAAGGATCGTAATCCTAAATTACGTAATATGAGTTATCGCAATAAAAGATTGTGTGCGAAACTAGAAATCCTTGAAAGATTGATCAATTAGCAACGGATTGTTATGTGAATGAAGCAAGAGAATTAGAATGTTTTTGTTACAACTTTTAAGGGTAATGGAGGGGTAAAAATGAAATTAAGTGATCTCATGTATAATTATTGAATAAAATCAAGAGGATATGAAACGGAAACAAAGAGAGAGGGTTATATATTCCAGTATGAAACATAACAATAGTGGTAATAATAATTAAAGTTTGAAGCTAATGTAGAGACGCGAATAACACGTACTTCTTTTGTACGCACATTCCTGCCTACATCTCATGAATGGCAACAGCATCGGTTGCTTTAATGAATTTGATTCGAAGAAATCTAGGTAGATCTGGATAAATTGTATCAACAACCATAAAATTAACCTGTGAATCGTTTGAGTGATTTGAATCAACTAAATGTCCAAGAATGCAACTTCTAACTGAATTCCTTACACTCTTGTAGAATCACACTGGTACATGTTCTCGTGTCCGAGTTAAAAGCAAGTGGTGGCTACGGTCTATATATCTTGATCCATAAAAGCAAGTGAACTGGTAGATGCACATGGACGTGACCAGACAAGGAAGCTTACATTTGACGGATAAAAAAAGGTTCCTACTAGTGAACGTTATTTGCAGCTTTGCTATTTAGAACGTACTTTTTATCGATTTTTAATTACATCGCTTGATTGTATGTAATGAATAGGTAATGATGATTTAAAGTCACTATCGTAGGGTTATTCAAGCAAACTATATTAATCAGGTTTTATTAGTAATATGAAATAAATTACTAATATTCGAATGCTTGAATTTCAAATTCTACAAATGAACAATTTCTTGGGATACTCAGAAAAATATCCCAAAAACAATTATCCGGTTAAGTCTAACGCTACCCTTGAACGTTAAATGGTGTCATTTCCCTATTGGTCGTTTCTCTATTGATCAATATTTATTTCGCGTGTCATTTTCCTATTGGTCAATGTTATTTAACGTGTCATCTTTCTGTTGGTCAATATTTATAGTAATCCTAACTGTAAAAATATGCATTTGTTTATAAATCATTATTCTGCTGCTCCTGACCCCATAAACGATTTTTCATCTACGGTTCGTGTTCTGATATATTGGAGATTGGGAACAGTATTGGGGTCGAACTGGGATATCTGAAGCTAGTCAATCGGTAGAATTTAGTGTAGCCAACTCGCGATTCACAATAAATTTGGCGACGGAGATTGAGCAACAAGTTGGTGATTAACTATGGATCCATCCAAATTAGAAAAATTGTTCGAACAGCAGCTGAAGCTGATGGAGATGATTACTCAGACGCACATATCTTCTCGAGTCCCAACTACACCGAAAATTCCTGAATCACTTGATGGTATTACCAGTGGTATCTCAGAATTTCTTTATGATCCTGATGCCAACATTACATTTGATACCTGGTTCAGACGTTATGAAGACCTTTTCAAAGTTGACCTTGCTGACAGAGATGATTCGTGGGAGGTGCGTCTTCTTCGTAAACTTGGTCCATCCGAGCTGGGTAAGTATTGCAACTTCATTCTACCGCAGAACCCACGCGACCGTTCATTCGACGCCACTATTCAGTCCCTTAGCCAACTTTTTGGTGATCATCACTCACTCTTCAGTACCCGATATCGCTGCTTAAAACTGGTCATGAATGAATCTGATGACTTCCTAACCCACGTCGGCGTTGTTAACCGTGAGTGCGAACGGTTCAAGCTCAGATCCCTCACTGAAGACCAATTCAAGTCCCTAATGCTCATATGCAGTCTTCAGTCACCCAAATTCTCCGACATCAGAACTCGGTTGCTTAACCGCCTTGAACAAGATCCAACACTGACACTCAATGCGATCATAGACGAGTACCAGCGCATCATTAATCTGCAGCGTGACACCACTTTGGTTCAATCTGGGGGCCAGGGTGGTTCCGAAGTTCATGCTGTTCAGCACCAGAAAAAATCTTCGAGATCGACAAACTCGAGTCCTTCGAACGCCAGCGCTGTTTCTATCTCTAATCACTCTAAACCGGTTCAGAAGAAGCCCCCCTCGCCATGTTGGCACTGTGGAGCCTGGCATTATGTGAAGTTCTGTCCATTCAAACAGCATGTGTGCGATCGCTGTCAGAAAGTTGGTCACAAAAGCGGCTTTTGCTAATCCAACCGACTCAATAACCGTCGAAATGCACAGACGCAGCGTCGTTTTCACAAAAAGCCGATTACCTCATCAAGGAGTTTAGCAGCAGTCTTCCATACTCATGCCGCGACTCGACGCAAATTTCTGACCCTCTCAATCAATGGTCAGCCAGTTCGTTTGCAGTTGGACGCTGCATCAGATATCACCATTTTGTCGAAAAAGACTTAGCGAACCTTGGGTCAACCTCCCATCAAACCATCCTCTCAAACAGCCGTCAGTGCTTGTGGGGGTCATCTCCGCCTTCATGGTGAACTCTATTGCTGCATTTCATTCAGAGGTACAACCTTCAATGGGACATGCTACATCACCAATTCTCCGCTCAACCTTTTAGGTTTAGATTGGTTCGAAGAACTTGGTCTCGCTGATCTTCCTATTAGCGCTATCTGCAATCAAGTCCAAACTACTGCTTCTACACAACAGCATACTGAAGACCTTCGAAAACGATTTATTGAACTATTTAAGCCTGGACTCGGACTTTGTTCCACAACTGAAGCTGATTTAAGACTGCAGTCAGAAGCTACGCCAGTTTTTCGCCCAAAGCGTCCAGTCCCATACGCATCTTTACCTCTGGTTGACGCTGAACTTCAACGTTTGGAAACTGAAGGTGTCCTAGTACCTGTTTCTTATTCGTCATGGGCTGCACCAATTGTGGTTGTAAAAAAATCCAATGGTTCCATACGCATCTGTGCAGACTTTTCCACAGGACTCAACGCGGCTCTACAACAGCATCACTATCCGCTGCCGATCCCAGATGACTTATTTACTATTTTAAATGGTGGTACCTATTTTGCTAAGCTGGATCTGGCAGATGCTTACCTTCAAATTCCAGTCGCTCTCGAATCGAGAGAGTTGTTGACAATCAACACTCACCGAGGACTTTTTCAGTATACCCGGTTACCCTTCGGTATCAAAACTGCTCCCGCGATCTTCCAGCAGATCATGGACACTATTCTGGCAGATGTTCCTGGTGTTGCTACATACCTTGACGATGTGCTCATTGTCGACGCAACTGCTGATGAATTGCATACCAGAACCCACTTAGTTCTGCAACGCCTCCAGGATAATGGTTTTCGCCTTCGCCCAGAAAAATGCCAGTTCTTCCTACATTTCGTTAAATACCTGGGGTTTATCTTTGATGCTTCCGGACGACACCCTGATCCTCAAAATACTTACGCAATCCAACAAATGCCTGCTCCCACTGATGTCTCCTCACTCCGATCATTTTTGGGAATGATTAGCTACTATTCAGCATTTCTTCCATCACTGCATGACGTACGATATCCTTTAAATCGTCTGCTAGAAAAGAATGCTACTTGGAATTGGTCAACGCAATGTGAGTCAGCCTTTTCAAAACTTAAAGCTATGCTAAGTTCCAATCTTCTGCTAACCCACTACAATCCGAAACTACCCATTGTGGTTGCCGCTGACGCTTCAACACATGGACTCGGTGCCGTAATCTCACATGTCTTTCCCGACGGGTCAGAGAAAGCGATGATGCACGCTTCGAGAACACTAACACCTGCTGAGAAACGCTACGGCCAGATAGAGAAGGAAGCGTTAGCCCTAATTTTTGCTGTCCGGCGATTCCACAAATTCATTTATGGGCGCCGATTCACCTTGCTCACAGACCACAAGCCGTTGTTATCAATCTTTGGATCAAGGAAAGGCATTCCTGCCCATTCTGCTAATCGTCTTCAACGTTGGGCGTTGGCGTTATTGGGGTACGGCTTCGACATCCAGTATCGACGTTCCGAAGATTTTGGTCAAGCGGATGCACTGTCCAGACTTATCAGTAACCATTCTACCACTGATGAGGACACACTCATAGCCACAGTATCAACCGAAGAGGATTCCGGTGCTACACTATTGGCGAACGCCGTTCGAGCAATGCCTGTTACCGCTGAAGATGTTCGGGAAGCTACCAGAGAAGACCCGATTATCCAAGAAGCGATCACCTATGTTCAGAGCAGATGGCCAGTTAAGCAGCTGAGTGGTGATATGCAACAACTAGCGAATCGTCGCAGCTCTCTCTGTATTGTTAACGATTGTCTGATGTTTGGTCATCGCGTAGTAGTTCCAACAACCCTACGTTCCAAAGTCCTACGCCAATTCCACTCTGGACACCCAGGGATAAACCGTATGAAATCCATCGCTCGAAGCTATGCATATTGGCCAAATATGGACAAGCAGATTGTCGACTTCGTCAAAAGATGTTCACATTGCCAAAAAGCTGCGAAAAATCCTCCTAAGTTGCCTCCAGTACCCTGGCCGAAGTCAGAAAAACACTGGTCGGGAGTGCATATTGACTTCACTGGACCCCTAGATGGTACCACATATCTGATACTGGTTGACTCATACTCCAAATGGCCGGAGATATTGCCGATTGCCCCACCCTCTACAACTCAAACCATCAAACTCCTTAATCGGATCTTCGCTCAGCATGGTCTTCCAGAAACAATAGTAACAGACAATGGGTCACAATTCACATCTAGCCAATTCCGAGAATTTTGCCTGCAAAATTCGATCAACCATGTTCGTTCTCCGCCATATCACCCGCAATCTAGTGGACAAGCTGAAAGGTTCGTTGATACATTTAAACGAGCCATGCTTAAAGCACGAGGGGAGGGGACCACAGAAGATATCATAGAATGATTTCTAGTTGCTTACCGGACGACCCCGCATGACCTATTGCCAAACTCCAAATCCCCTGCTGAGATGCTTATGGGGCGAAAGCTACGGACAGTTCATGGTGCGATGAAACCCAAGCAAGTAGCCCAGCAAAGCCCCCAGATGAAGAATACTCGAATTCCCTACGAAGTTGGCACAAAAGTGTATGCGCGAGATTATAGACACGGATGCGATAGATGGGTAGAGGGTGAAATCACACAAAAACATGGGAACGTCATGTATGATGTCAAGGTGAACCAAGAAATCTGGACCAGGCACCACAATCAACTCAAGTCAAGGGAAGCGAAGGAGAAAGAAGCAATTACAAAACACGTCCCACTCGACTTGTTGTTGGACACGTTTCAACTTCCGCCAATACCTCCAACAGAAACGACTAAGTCATCTACTCAAGTAGAACATCCTTCTGGTTCTGTGTGGTTGCCTCGGAGGTCGGATCGCAAAAGAAGACACCCAAAGAAACTTCAAGTAAACCCTCGGTTACGTCGCTATTAACTTCTCCAAAGGGGAGGTGTTGGGATACTCAGAAAAATATCCCAAAAACAATTATCCGGTTAAGTCTAACGCTACCCTTGAACGTTAAATGGTGTCATTTCCCTATTGGTCGTTTCTCTATTGATCAATATTTATTTCGCGTGTCATTTTCCTATTGGTCAATGTTATTTAACGTGTCATCTTTCTGTTGGTCAATATTTATAGTAATCCTAACTGTAAAAATATGCATTTGTTTATAAATCATTATTCTGCTGCTCCTGACCCCATAAACGATTTTTCATCTACGGTTCGTGTTCTGATATATTGGAGATTGGGAACAGTATTGGGGTCGAACTGGGATATCTGAAGCTAGTCAATCGGTAGAATTTAGTGTAGCCAACTCGCGATTCACAATACAATCACAGATTTTCGTCACAGTGAATAACATGTTGTTTATTCTGAAGCGTTTTAAGTAAAATCTGAAAATTAAGGATGTGTTTAGCTTGGATACATAAAAGGATTTAGATGAACATTATATATACATTTATTTGCGATACCACTTAGGGTAATAATAGGACCAAGTAAAGACAGTTTACACTCTTAGCAGGTACATTTACTGTGTTTACTGGTTTAAACTTTACATTAATGAACACAGTAATCAGTCATTAATTGATTGTTTTGAATGATTTTTACTTAAAGGAAAATCTATTATTTCATTTCGATATTTCCTAAAAGCGTGCTTTCAAATACTGTTAAATTAGATATAACACATATATATGTTTAATGCTTCATGACCGTGTAACGGTTCACTTCTTCGCCGAAGTGCCACCTGGCGTCCTCTCTCTGCATCTCAAGCCTGGACTCAGATTGATCACATCACGATCAGCTACCGCTGGCGTGGTTGTGTACAAGACTGCCGCTCCTTTTGGAGTACCTACCTGGACTCTGACCATGCCTTGGTCTGCGCCAATCTTACCTTACTTTTCAGTGGACAACAAAGTGACCGCCACCAACGGACTGATGTTAGCAAGCTGGTTGCAACTTCTACTGCAAGTAAGTATCGAACCGAGCTAGTTTCTAGGCTAGCTACCATTCCACCGAAAAGTATAGATGAGCATTGGTTGCAATTGCATGACGCCATGAAAATGGCGGGTACAGTCAGTTGTGGGTTCGCGATACGTCCCGCTTATAAGCACTGGGTTTCTGCAGGTTCCTTACAACTCATTGAAGCCCGTCGGTCTACTCCGGGTGACCGTGAGTTTGACCATAAACGAAGGTTGTTACGTAGTGAAATTGGGCAAAGCTTGCGTAAGGAACGAGAAGCCTGGTGGTCGGAGCGTGCTAATGAGCTGGAAGCAGCAGCTTCATCTGGTAATTACCGGAAGCTCTTCCAACTCATCCGAGCCACTGGCAGTAAGAAGTCTTGTGTGAGCGAAACAATCTGCGAGGATGACGGAACTCCAATGACTAACATCCATGGACGTCTTGGACGATGTGCAGAATTTTTCGAAGGGCAGTTCAACTGGCCTGCTGCTCCGGCAACATCGGTCAGACTGTCCTGCCCTCCATGGCCGGTGACGACTGATCCACCAAATGAGGCGGAAGTTCGCAAGGAACTCCAACTCTTGAAACGTTACAAATCACCTGGCCCAGATGACTTACCTCCGGCTCTTTTTAAAGATGGTGGTGACTTTTTGACTAAGAAATTGACGACGTTGTTTACAAACGTTTGGGAACTAGAGAGTGTACTAACGTCATGGAATGAATCGATAGTTGTCCCTATCTTTAAAAAGGGTTCACGT